CGCTCTCTCTATCACTCTCTCTCTCTCTTTCTCTCTCTTTCTCTCTCTCTCTCTCTCTCTCTCTCTCTCTCTCTCTCTCTCTCTCTCTAACGCACCCACCCACCAACCCACACAAACACAAACACACACCCATCCACCTACACACACACACACACACACACACCTACACACACACTCACACACTTTTTCTGACATACATGCACTCACGTGTGTGTGTTTATGTGTGCTCAAAGAAGGCGCAGTGGTAGGTAAAAAGAGAAAATATATAAAAAGAACTGCTTAGTCGTCAAAAACAAAACTGCCTGAACTTGTTTCATACACAGAAGCTAGCCTGGGAAATGTTTCAATGCACGACATTCGATAGCGAATATTGATAATCATATCGCAGTGTCGTAAAAGTCCTATCAGCATTTTGAATAAAACGAATGGTGCCGCAAATGAATGTCCTATGAAGAAAATTAATCAGCAAAAATCACTAGTGTCGCAATAAATGTACTTTTTTAAAACCGGAGTGCCACAAAGGTCCAATTAAGAAAATTAGAAAAAATCACTAGTCTAGATCTAGTGCAGCAAATGTATTATTTTAGAAATGGAGTGCCACAAATGGAAAGCTCAAGCCTGGGAATACAGAGTGGTGTCTGACTGAGCGGCCCAATCCCGCTGTTTTGATAAAGGATTTACTCTGCATTAGTGCTCTGTCTTGTTCAGTGCACTGCTTCTCGAGGGTAGCTGACTCGACCTTTGTTCGATACTGATGTGTACAGATAGAGCTGGGCGAAGAATCAATTCCGGAATCGATTCCCACGACTATTGCAAGGGAAAAAAAGTTCCCTTTCACGAAACCCAACGGTTACCACTTACTTTAGTAATTAAAACCTTCTCTTTAAAAAGAATGTATCTTTGAAAAATAAAAGTCGATGCTTCGGAATGTTCCGAAATCAAGGTTATCCTAAATCCTGAAGATGTTTGGAGCCAATCAGGTAACCACCAGAGGAAATATATCATTAGAAAGTAAGTAATTGGGATCGGAGTCGATTCCTACGATTCCTAGCTTTCAATTATTGGGAACCTAGCCGCCCAGCACTAGTACAGAACTACTGTGATTGCGGTAATGTATATACCAGGAATATAATATACATAGTGCACACACAGGCAAGCGAGGCAGGGGTAGGCCCAGAGCAACCTCCTTGGGGAACCTGAACAAGTGGTTGACAGAGAAAGATCAGGGAAACGTAGCTTTTTTAAGAGCATCCGAGCAAAGGATTGAATGGAGAACCATGATCGCCGATGTCTGTCGCAGATCTGGCCTGGATGATGATGATGCATACACACACACATACACACACACACACACACACACACACACACACACACATGTATACATACACACACACACGCACACACACACACGCACACACGCACACACATGTAGACTACCCCCCCCCCCCCTTTATACCATTCCCCTCTCCTAATGATTGTCTTCATTGTTGTGGTCTTCCAGACTATCGTTAATGTTTACACTTCCATCAACACGATTTTTATCACTTCGGAGGCCTCCTTCTTTCCTATCAAACATCTATCATCCTGATCTCTTCTCCTTCTCTTGTGGTGTTTGTTACTCTCAGGGAAACACTAACAACTCACGGCATCCCCCTGACCCAAGCTCTCCGGCTGGCGACAGGGAGACGTCTCTTTCTTCCCGCGACACCCAAAAGGGTATAAGCGGCGGATAAAAGTAAAAAGTAAAGAATCTCTTGTAACACCTCTAATCTTCAGAACTTATATGACCTTATTGTGTTGCAAGTGCCTTAAAACTCTTACTTTAAAAAAAAACTTGGTAGGCGGGCTGCTGAGAACACGCTGACGAGGACCAACATGGGCAGGGTGGCTTACAACATTTAAGCAGAAAAACAGAGACATTCGGCAAATCGCAACTGACTTCAGGGGAACTGAATTCTTAGTTTTAGTAAGTGTTTTACTGCACTTACAACACAATAAGGTCATATAAGTGCAGAAGAATAGAGGCGTTACAAGAGAGTAATATGCTCAAAAAAGAAGGAGGAGGGATAAGGACGATAGATGATAGGAAAGAAGGAGAAAACCACACCAGAGCACCCGCCAACCACCCACGAATTGAACTCTCAAGTCTTTTGAGCGCAAGTTTGAATGCCGTTTCTTCGCTTGAGTAAAGAGAAGTACAATGTACAAGCATCATTATAACGATTAGTAAGTGTAACGAAAAAGAGAGACAAACAGAGACTGACATAGATCTAAACATCAAAGAAGAAGATAAGACGTAGCACCTTACAAGTGGGAAAATCTCCAAACATCCGCACAGAAGGTCTTTAACCCCTTCACTGCCATACCTGCTCTACAATCCTAGCAAAAAGCAAAAGGTCGCTTTAAGGACAAGCGGGCTAACCCAGATTTCGGGGTTTCCAGAAATCTTGACCTACACCAAAAGTGGGCATTGATTGCCCTACCTATAGGAGAAGTTTGGTTTCAATATTGTGTACATTTGTTTGGTTATCGAGAAAACTCTCCTTGCCTTTTAAAGAAACTGAACAAGGGGGAAAAACTTTACCTTCGATTTTCTCAAAACAGCATTTTTCGGGATAGCCCCCTTGTGCTTAAAAGCGACCATATATTTTTTGCTAGTCTACTGTCTCGGGAGAGGCAATTAAGAGTAAATATATCTTCTTTTTCTGGCTGTCTGGCGTGTTTAGCTAGGCTGTTTCAATCTAATTCCGAGTCTTCTCCCTTCGCAAAGGCGCTGCCAAAAAACACACATTCATGTCTAATCTCTTAATATGAAATAATTCTGAACACACCGCATTCTGCCACCCAACACGACTTTCGAGATGACAATCATCAAGCGTATCGTGTGCTGCGAGACATGTAGGAAAGAATGTTATCAGTTTTCAATCCTTGGAAAACACGCTTGACTTACCTCGACATAAAAATACAACATAACCTGGCTAAAGGAGGATTCACCAATGTCTTTGTTATAATGGTTAGGCGCTTCACTGTCGCAAACAGAATACCCGAGTTTGATTCTCGAGTAGGGAGAATTGTTAGAGTATTTCATCTCTGTCTTCTGCAGAGACGTTGTATGTACCCCTCTCAGCACAGACTGGCCCTGGCAGGCAGAGTCGAAGCCTGCATCTTAAATGATCTAAATTGTGTCTTTTAGTTTTAGTAAGAGTTTTACCGCACTTGCAACACAATAAGGTGATATAAGTGACGAAGATTAGAGGTATTACAATAGAGTAACAAACACAAAAAGAAGGAGGGGGGGGGGGATAAAGACGATATACCGTTTGATAGGAAAGAAGAAGCAAACAACACCAGAGCACCCGCCAACCACTCTCATGACAAAACAAAAGAGGAGTCTATTGGTAGAATGCACTGAAGCCGCCATTAATCGGCCAGATCCGATCCGTTCTGCAATGGGCACTCGATATAAAGCTAAGTGGCCAACTAATCTTAGAAGAATCAAAGGAACGCTGAACATTCCTTGGCTTTACGAGTAAAGACCAGTAGGATTAAACGTAAACGAATCGCTGTTCCTCCTTTTAATACTCTATAAAAGACGTGAACGAAGTTTGAATAAATAAAAACATTTTGAGATTATCTTTTATTCATGAGCTCTTTTGTTAGAAATTAGAATTCGTATGTTCTGTGTAACCTTTTCCTGAGTGGGAATGAATTTATGTATAATTCTTTGTTTGATTGTGCGTTTGGAGACTGTATATTCGGGGGGGGGGGGGGCGAGGGGGGGTGCTGTTGTCTTGTTGGGTTTTTTTTGTTTTGTTTTGGGGGGTCTTTTTCAATGCAAGAATGTAAATTGTTGGGTACATTTTAATAATCATTCTACACCGCTGCCTGTATATTCTAAACATAGATTGTGGAGAAAAAACAACAAGAAACAAACAAAAAAGATGAAGACGTGGGAAGAAGAGCGGGGTAGTAGAGTGATATATACATATTGATAAGCTACACGGGAGTCATGTCGTTAAGAATGGCTGTCAGGCATAAATATGCAAAGGTACACTCCCCCTCTCTCTCTCTCTCTCTCTTTGTCCCCGCTCTCTCTCCCTCCTTCTCTCTCCCTCCCTCCCCTCTCCCTCCCTCCTCTCCCCCTCCCCATCTCCCTCTCCCTCTTCCCCCTCTTCCTCCCTCCCTCCCTCCCTCTCCCTTCCCTTCTCTCTCCACCTCTCCCTCCCTCTCACCCCTTCTCTCTCCACCTCTCCCTACCTCTCCCCCCTCCTCTCCCCCCTCTCCCTCCCTCCCCCTCTCTCTCTCCCCTCTCACCTATATTCACAATCTTGACTCCATCCCTGCTGACAGCCTCCAGAGCCACCGTGATGTTCTGTAACTTCTGGTACTGGTTGGAAGGACGAGCCACTGCTCCTGAGATCCTGGGGTCAGGACAGAACATTGGAAGAAAAATTCGCACATTTAATAATTAAGGATAAATAATAAACTAGAAATCACAAATCAGGAGAGAACATTGGAAGAAATTCTCACACATTTAATAATTAATGACAAATAATAAACTATAAATCACAAATCAGGAGAGAACATTGGAAGAAATTCTCACACATTTAATGATTAATGACAAATAATAAACTAGAAATCACAAATCAGGAGAGAACATTGGAAGAAATTCTCACACATTTAATAATTAATGATAAATGACAAACTAGAAATCACAAATCAGGAGAGAACAGTGGAAGAGTTTGTTTTAATAAAGGTTTTACGGCGCTCGCAACCGCAAAAGGTCATATGAGCGCCAGAAGATTAGAGGTGTTACAAGAGAGTAACAAACATAAAAAAGAAGAAGGGGAGATAAGGACGATAGATGTTTGAAAGGACAGAAGAAGCAAACCACACCAGAACACCCGCCAACCACTCAAAACATTGGGGGGGGGGGAAAAACTCACACATTTAATAATTAAGGATAAATGATAAGTGAAAGGAGACAATTTTAGAGACGATAATTTTTCGGTCGCTACCCGGATTCGAATCCGGGACCTTTGAATGAGAGGCCAACACATTAACCTCTAGGCCACGAGAGCCCCCAGGTAAGTTGGTTGACGCCCACCTGAAAACTGACCAAAACAATTTTTGATGTGTTCACAGGACATTTACGACCCATGATAAAAGGCGTCTGCAAAACAGTCAAGTGACAGGGATATAAGCACATAAAAACAGAAGTTATGAAAGTGAGCCGAAACCATAGTCCCCTGAGCATCCGTGTCAATAGTAAACAACTGAAACAGGTGAAGGAGTTTGAATATCTTAGTTGCACTTTTTCTGAAAACGGGTCCATAGACAGAGAAATAGAAATGAGAACTCAAAACGCCAACGCTGTCACCTACCAGCTTGCACCCCTCCTATCTCATCCAAACATCTCCATAGACACAAAGAAACAGTTTATCGCCTTTAAATTCATACCAACATTATGTTATCAGTGCCAGACCTGGACTTTAATCAAAACCCAAGAAAGCAAAATCACTGCAGGCGAAATGAAATGTCTCCGCAAAACCCTTAACATCACAAGACGAGACAGGCAGAGAAATGAAGAAGTTAGAGCAGCTATCGGCATTGAGTCCTGCCTGCGTTACATAGAAAGACAGAGGATAAAATGGTTTGGCCACCTGTTACGCATGTCACCTGACCAGCCAGCCTCGAGAGCTTACAACACCAACCACCCAGGCTATAAAGGAAGAGGAAGGCCACGCAAAAGGTGGATCGAGGGTGTCAAAGAAAATCCTAAGAAAACATAACATCACAACTGAAAGAGCTGCGGAGCTGGCCTACCATAGAAAACTGTATCTCCCTCGACGCTTAACGGCAACAGAGGATGAAAAAGTAAAAGTAAGTGGGACTCATTGGCCAGCCCTAGTGACGACCCACCTGTGCCGAGTGAGCGCTTCTACCAAGGCCACGAGGTTGACCCCGTCCGAGAGGTCAGTCCTGATGTCCTGTATGACGATGCCTCTGGTCCGCAGACCCTCGTTGACCCAGTTGGTGAAGGTGTTGCGCTGTATCTGTAGCCACTGACCGTGGTCTCGTTTGTTCAAGGACGTCTGGCGTCCGACGTACGGATCTACCTCCATACTGATGACGTCAAATTAAGATTTGTCTAGTAATTAATATTTAAAGATGCGTTGAACTGTTATTTAGTGTGGATGTCTTATTGGATTTGTGAAGGAACAGTTTAAGCGTTTAAGGATACGTTGAACTGTTATTTAGTTAGGATGTTTTTTATTCTGTTTTGTTTTGTTTAGTTTTGTTTTGTTTTCCTCTTGCTGTGTAGGCTAGTGTGAGAAATTAATCTATCAAGGCAATGAGGTCGTTAGAGAGAATGGCTCCGTTTATGATGATCTTCGGGGTGTGGTTTTTTACGCCTAAAACAACACAAAGAATGTTGTTTTTGGATGAGAGACGCAATCTGTGAACTAGTCTCTCATCTGCCGTCGAATCCAAAGTGATATCCAGTCACGAAATTCACATAAAGATCCCTGTAGTACTCAAAGACGAGGAATCAAGTCGCCCTGTGCTCAGCTATGGGCCGGCAATTCTATCCATAGCTCAGTGACGTAGAGAGTGCGTTCATTGCGTAGGCCGTCTGCGATCTCTGGACTTTCTCCTACAACTCCAGCTCGGGTTTCAAAGAGCTTGTGGGCGGGCTGGCTGCACTTCTGGAAGAAAAAAAAGAAGCCAAATAACTTCAGTTTTAGTAAGAGTTTTACGGCACTTGCAACGCAATAAGGTCATATAAGTAGTACCTTCAGTGACGACTATTTTGTATTATTTAAAGTTACTCAATGCTGTTATTATAAACACACAGTGGTATCATTCAATAGTACGATTTTAACCCATTCAATGCGTCATTGAAGTTCCTGGCACATCGTGGAATTGACATAACACAAAACTCGGAGTACGGAAAGGGTATTTTTATACTCTAAGTTTTGTAAGAGGCGGTCTTATACGTACATAGATACACACGCATACACACACACACACACACACACACACACACACACACACACACAC